CTTATATTAACTACTTTGAACCAAATTTAACCCAAATTAAATGCAAACAAAAAAACATGTTGAGTTTAAAATGACAATATAAAAATAATTTTGTTTCAATGCCAAGGTAATTTTTGAATTTTTTAAACGTCATTTAATGGTTATTTTGTATTTGATGCGGTTAACATAATTAAAATGCGCCTAAATGACCTCCGCTTTGGCTTAGGGTTGCCACAAGCAATTTCAGTTTGAAATCTAACATTCAAAAATATCATGAACTCAACTTAGACACAATAGAATAATGTGGTGTGTATTTAAATTACAGTAGCATGCGGATATGTGGCTTAATGTTAGTGAAAAGAGTTAAATGACTCGTAAACTGTTATTTTCTATTTTGGCTAAAAAACGGTTAAAATGCTTTTGGCCAACATTTTATGACGGCTTCTAATTTATTAGTTGAGCAAAATGAAACATTTGCTGGGCGGAAATGGCGGCTAATTTTTTGATTAATGATTTAATATGTTTCGTTAGTGTTTCTTAATTTAATTTTTGCGCTTTAGTTTTAAAATTTTTCATAATAATAAAAATACATAAAAAACATAATAAAAATAATAATAAGTAGCTGAATCGAAATCTTTATTAGAAGTCCTCAAGTAGAGCTTAATTATCTCATTAGTCATTATCTAAATTATTAGAGATTATCAAAAAGTTTTCTGACCTTTAAATTTAATTTTATAATTTTTTTTTTAGTATAAATTTAAAGAAAATCGTAGACTTTTGTCTACATGAATAATAATAAATTTAACGACTTTCGCAAATTGTCACCACAGGCAATTTGCGAATCACAACTCAACTTTTAGTCGCTCGTTCATATATAAGGCGTTTTTTAATCCGTTTTTCCAATTAAATAAACAAGATTTCCTTTATATATGTATATGCGTAAGTGTTTATGATATATAAATACGCAATTGCAGTTTACTGCGCTAAGGCGTAAAAATTATTACACCAAATTGCTTTAAATTGCACATGGCTTGTAACCTCTGGTATCAAGTAAACATGTTTTATGTAAAATAAAAAGTGTTTAATTGAAATTGTAGAAAAACGTGCAAAGCTACTAATACTTAACTATATGTAAAAATATGACTTATAAAGCCGAATGACCAATAAATTCAAAGGTAAGTGTAATTGAACTGGTTGAAAAGTCCATTGCAGCGTTGGTTAATCGATGGTGCACTGTTAGAAAGTAACTCCACACTCCCAAGCAATCAGCAATTAAAAGTTCAATCTATTCAAGTGATCAACTGATCAACTGATCAACCACATAATCACATAATCAATTTGTTATAACTGAGGTCCATGTAAAGGATGGAAGTTATTGTCTCTTCAACATATCAAATTTTATTGCCCAATTAAGTCATAACAAGAATCGTAAATGGCTATAACCACAAATTGCTGTAAAATTTGTATGCGAAATTATGTTGTCATTTATTGTACTTTCAAGTCAATTTACGATTTTTTTACAAAATTGCGGATATATCGAAAGGTAGGAGTGACAGTACAACCTTTAGTTTAATAAGAAAAATTTTAAATAAAAAGATACATTGACTCGTTTTAGTGAGATTACATCATGTGTATATGTATATATGTTAACATATAGTGTTGGACAAAATGAGTTCCCCGTGTTTTAGTAGAAATTTAATGTTTGTTTTCTTCATCCATTTCGAAAACAGTTTTATCAAACTAAGTATTGACATATTACTTCTCATTGTAAATTAAGTAAATTACAGTCAAGCTTCCATAATTCGAAGTACCAAGGTTCGAGTTATGGAGACTTCGAGTTGAAGAAATTTTCATCACATTGTATATAATATGCTCCCTAAATCATGTTGCACTTTAGTTAGTTTGAGTTATAGAAAATTCGAGTTATAAAAGTTGGAGTTATTGAAGTTTGACTGTATTTAAAAAGTTTCATTCAGTTGCTTGTCTCTCTTTCTTCCAGAGAGAGAGAAGCGCATCTTGACTTCTAGAATAAAAGTGAATGCACCATTTTCTAGCAGCAGATTGTGATTAAGTACCACGGTTGCCACTTCAAAATTTTTTTCTGTACCAAAATTGGTTTAAAAAGGTACCATTTCTGTAAAAAAAGGTCCAAAATTTTTCTATTGTCTTTTATATAAGAAAATACAATTTATATAAAATGTACAAAAAGTATAAAACAATACAATATCCACAATAAAGTTGGGTCGCCGAAAAATGTACCATTTTTTGAACATGAGTACCAGAGTACCAAACGGAAAAAAAGTACCAATTTTGGTACTAAAGTACCATAAGTGGCAACCGTGTTAAGTACATTAACAAAGGATTGGATTATGTTAGGTTGAGAGGATGTGTGCTTTTGCAAAACCTTGAATCGGAGACAGTTATTATGTGTCTTTATGATGTCTTTACAATTGTCGTAGAAAAGATGAATAAATTTCATTAGATTAAACTGCGGAAAATTGATAAATACACTTTTCTTACCTTTATCAGGCCAAGTATATTTACAAAGGATTGGATTATGTTAGGTTGAGAGTATGCGTGCTTATGTAAAACTTCGAATCGGAGACATTTTTTAATCTATTGTGATGTCTTTAAAATTATGTTGATAAAGATGAATAACACTCATTAGATTAAACTGCGGAAAACCGATAAATTCACTTTTCTTATTTCTTATTTCTATCACGCCAGTTAGAAAACGGTCACCAAGACATTGAATAGGTAATTCCTTTATAATCTATTTGGAATATTCCGGAATATATTCAATGTTATCTAATGTCTATGATACATGTTTGTCTCTATCATAAAACACTGTAATTTAGTATATAAAGTACTGATCTTAATAAAATTAATAAAATGTTCACTAATAATGAGCTCACATGTCATCTGTCAAACAAAAAAAAAAGAAAATTGTAAGGTCCCAGATTATTGTATTGCAAATTCAGGCGAATAAAAAAACACTAATAGTGAGTTTTTATAGATTGTAAATAGTCGCCACCATGTTATAAAGACTTTTAAACAAATTCCTAAAACTCACCTATAAGCTGAAAATCAAAGAATCTATATTTTAATGAGAGTATACGGTTGAATCTCAACCCGATGTATATTTTCTTAAATTAAATGAGAACTAAAGAATATTCGAATAGAATTCCTATTTTATTTAACTATCAATGTTATAGCTAATGTTTAAGTACATTTGATCAAGGAATCATATATGAAAATGCAGATTTCTATAACTTATGTCTTCCCTGTAATCGTTTTATGGAAATTATTTGTATATGGAATAAACCAGTGCCTTCTTTTCTCAATACTTTACATGATATTAATAGTTTTAATATCTGTTACAACACTTTTGGAGTCAGTTTAACTATAAATTTAGACCTTCACCTTAATCGAAGAATACCACAATTAAGGAACACATCAAAGGCCTACAAACAGAAAGCATACGGTTAAAAGTTTCAGGCAGATATTAATATCTGATAATATAATATTAATATTATCTCAGGCAGATATAATTTTATTTTATTCTATATATAAATGCATATAATAATAATGTTTTTAATATACAATAACATAACATTAGGTATCTCGTCAGCAATCCCAGACATTCTTCATTAAAACATTTGTTAAAATAAGGAAAGAGTAACAGTTTTCATTAGAATCAAAACATACTAAGGCTTTAAGTTCAAATGACATAAATTGAAAATCAAGCTTTCAGGAGTACTTAATACTAAGCATCTAAGCTATGTTAGACACTTACAAAGCATACGACAAAAAGTCCTATCTCCTTCTAGGCAGAGTCGAAGTTTTGTCGTCCTATTCTGTAAAATAGTAGTAACCAAGTAAAGGAGCCTAAGTTAATATTTTGCATAGTACTAACATATAATAGTCTAGTCTAATTTTAAATACTTCATTTATGAAATAAAATTTTGTGTAATAAAATTCACTGACAATACAGGCAAAAAATACTTAAACCTTTAATTTTGATAATACGCTATTTATTGTCATTATGTCATAATAATTAACTTTTGAGTGCATTTTAAAATTTATCTAAAAGAAAATATTTTATAAAAGGGTATTTTATTATTTTTCATAATTAAATAACCACGTTATCTTGAAAATTAAATGTAAATTAAAAAGCTTAAGTTGACAAGAAATAATTGTACAACAATTGAAAGTGACTTTTTGTTTGTTTTTAATGACTTTTCACTTTTCAAGTGAGCGTTAAAAATGAAATTTCTTATATTTCTTATATTTCTTCAAATTTATGCACCAGAAATGGATAGCAATAAAAAACAATCTAAACTTGTTATGAATTTCGTACAAAAAGATACTTCCATAACCATAACATTTTGGGCACTGAGGTTGGGGTGGCCTAAAATATACTTGTCAGTAACCAAAAGTTAAACGAGTATGAATTGTAGATATTTGTTTTTATTTTTTTTTTTTGTATTTTATTTTGTATTTCGACAGTTGTAAAACAAGTTTCAAATGAACAGTCAAAATTCGGTTAAAGCACTAAAAAGGCAGAAATTGAAAGTGAACTTAGCGGGTTTAGTAAGCTAAAAATGTATGCAAAGAAAATCTTGAACTTCTTTGTATCTTACAGCAATAACAGTTAAAGGCATTTGTAGAAACATAAATGACTTTTAATTACTTAAAATGCAGGCTAATCGATTGAGTTAAGTTTTATTAGTGATTTTTTTGAATGATTTATATTTCGAAAGAATACCTAATTATCAAGGTTCACAATCAGTTTTGAAACTGGTTCTATTTCCTTTAAATAATCTATTGCTCTAATTGGTTTGATTGCATTGTAATTTGATTAATTGTTTGTTTAAATAATTTTATTGATTAAAAAATGTAACAAAAAACCTACATATACTTAGTATATTGCACACATGGGATATACATTTGTTTATTAAAATTAAGATACATTTTTCTAATTTTTCTCATTTTTCAGCAATTTTAAGGTGGCAACTTACCCGTTTAATATGCAAATTTGAAATCAACAACTGTAAAATAGAAAAAAGGTTTAATATTAGTCAAAATTTTTATATTTATGATAAGTGTAAAATATATGCATAAAATTTGCTATTTATTTAGAGCTATGCACACCCATGAATTTGGTAGACTGTGTAATGTGGAATAATCTATTTTACAATACTTTGATATGCTTCAACGCCTCTCGCGCGAATTTATGCAGCTCGAAACTATTTTATATATGAAGTTTAAAAAATACATAAATGATTTTAGTTAAGTGTTTGCGATTTCATGCTAATATAAAACAAAAACTGACCACAAAATTTCAAGATTTATATACACATTTTGAAGTATTTGAATATTGAGGTGTATTGCAAGCCCCTTTAGAGGTACGTACACACATTACCAAAAAACGATCATATGAAATAATATGAACGATTTTAAATGTATTATTAGATACAGTAAATAAAATTTATAAACATAAAAAGTAAACTTTTTAACTATTTTATTTATTAATATTAATTAATTGGAAAATAAACCCAATAAGCAATTTGAATTATTTTTTTAACATAGTTATAGTGAAATCTAAAAAAGAAGTATATTAACCACAGATAACGGTCCATGTCTTAGAGCTATGAGCGAGAGAATGCCTACGTAGAGGCACCCGCTGCACCAAAATATACATTCTTTCGGACAGCCAAGCAGCTCTAAAGTCTTTAGCAAACTCTACATTCCAATCAAAGTTGGTCTGGGAATGCTTTCAACTTCTCAATACCCTAATATCGAGTAACTATGTTACTCTTACGTGGGTACCTGGACATAAAGGGCATGATGCGATGCAACTGCCCAGCGGCGGCAAGACGTAGACTCGACTAACTTGGAAGCGGGATCTTAGTTCCAAATCAAATAGGTGAAATTAAGCCCACAATAATTACAAGATTTATAAATAGTCTAGAATTGTTTTAGTTGGGCCTTTAAGCGCACAATAGATGTTTTAGGCCGGGGTGCATTCATAGCCTATTATTTAATAATAAGAATCACAGACAACTTATATAAATTATAAAATACAGTCAAATTTCCATAGCTCGAAGTTCTATAACTTGAATTTTCTATAACTCGAACTAACTAAAGTGCAACGGGGTTTAGAGAGCATATTATATACAATGTCAAAAAAATTCTTTAACTCGAAGTTGAACCTTTTTTTTTGATAAATGGTACTTCGAGTTATGGAAGCTTGATTGTATATAGAAAATTTTAGTGGACGTTTCTTTTATGTACATAGTTATCTGTATAGAAGTTTTGATATTGCAAATGTTTCATAGAAGGTTTCTACATACAATTTCTGCATTATTCAAATTTGTTGTTATCAAGAAAAAATATTTACACATTTCTACTTAGTTTATGTAGTTTTCAAAGTTCTAATAAAATATTTTGCTACAAAAATATATATCAATGTAACTATATAAATAAATCCGAAAAGGCAGCATATTTTCTTTTTTAAAGTATCTGTTTTTAATTGCTTGTGCTGGTTTGTTTATTTAGATAAAAAGATAATAATATTAGATATATAAAAATATTTATAGGAATTTTAAATGCTTTTCCCACACATTGTTATATACTTAAGATTTATTATTATTTTTTATTGTATTTAACTTAAGAGATATCCGTACCTAACGAAGTACCCAACTTTTTTTAACCATCTTATAACGTATAACGCTAAAGCATACATGTTTTATCTTTTATTGAATACAAACTAACATATCAAGCATATCTGCAATGCATCACAGAAACTTGTGTATTCAGCTTTAGACAATACCAATATCTCTTTAATGTCTATATTTTGATGATAAATACCAACAAATTCCTTTGTGTTATTTTAGATATTTTAACTTATGGAAAATATGTAAATTTGCTCGACGTTTCTTGTTACTTTGTAACGGTTTTCTATTACAACAAACAATTTTGTTTATTGATTTTTAAACAAAAAATTTAACAAAATTTAAATAACAATTGTTGACATTTCTCAACTTGGGTCACAAATAACAAAAATCAAAAACAATAAAAAAAACAAATGTTGTTAGCATTTTAAGTTTTTATGGTAAAGTAACGACTTTTTAGCAAAAGTCAAGTCGATAACCAAATAAAGATAGACGACGAGTACGGCTTTCTTAGCGCATAGGAAGTTCAGAAATCTTTTTAGAAATAAACAATTTTAAATAAATTATTGCAGAAGCAACAAAATCGGTAGTACGGTTGTAAGGTAGTACTTTGTGGTCTTTGCAGTTAATGTTCTCATACATGTCACAATAAAGTTGCACGAAGTCGTGTAAATAATATTATATGTATTTAAAATAGCAAATGACCGAGTTTAACTAACAACTGAGCTCATTGACTTTTAGTGAACAAGGTTTTGCGTATATCAGCAATTTTAATAGTTTTTATTTGCTTCGATTTCCGTTCACAGCCTAAATTGGTTTCTCACGCCCAAATGAAAATTGGTTGAGTGTGAGCAATAAATTTTAATTAAGAATATAAAGAATTTTTTAAAGAAATGCAAACTGAAGAAATTTTAAAATTAACGTATGTATTCTTAAAGACTCATGGAAGAAGCCTATATAGATGATATAAGTATCTAAACGAAATATGCATAGTAAAAATTTATATTTTGCTGTGATAAGAAAGTTATTTAGAAGTTTAACATTAATGTTCTTTTTTATATTCAACCTAAGAAATGATAACAACAAATGAAATATAACATTATGGGGATATAGCAAAAGGATATAGCCATAATACTGTTTGTATCTGATAACTGCTTACGTTTCATTGTATTGGAGTTATAATCAACCTTTGCCTATTTATGAATTAAAATCTTGCAAAAATAACTATGGTTTTTTTTCTCAACAGACTTTGTTTAATCTCTAAATAGACATTTCTTGAATATGTATCAATTGGAATATATCAGAATATTGCTTGATTAATGTTAGTATTCATGCAACAAAATAAATAATATTTAAAATGAATACAGATTTTGAATCTAATAAAAACAAATAAATAAAGAAAAACAGAAAAATATATTATATGTATATTGTTCTTGATATACTTTTTTATTCTCTAAACAGACTTTTCTTGAATAGGCGTCAATAAGAAAATATGCAATTAGTAATTGATTAATGTCTGTATCCAAATAACAAAGTAATATATATAACGAATACAGATTTTATACTTTTAAAAAACAAAAAAAACATCTTAGATAATATATGGTCAACAGACTGCTTCCGTATAGGTGCCAGTCTGTAAAACATTAAATTAGTTAAAGCTTTTAATAACTTTTATACAAGTAACTGGTACAAGTAATTTCTCAAACAGTGAAGCCCTAAAATTAATTGCATTACGTAGTTTTTTTATATTGTGTCTCTCATAGTACCTAAGTAACACATATGGTCTGATTACCTATATGTACGATTTCCATATCTTGATGAATAATACCAATTCAAACCAAATTGCTGTAGATCATCAAATAATACATATGATGACTAACTCAAGTCATATAAGAGATAGTAAAAAAAAAATTTTATGGTTCAACTAAAGTAGCGAAATTCAATGTATTTTCATGCAGCTTTTTCTACCTTATCATAATATTATATATACGTAAAGTGATTCATTTTGAACTTAAGTGACTGATACCTTAAATTTATGTCAAAACATTTGTGAAATAAGATATTTCTTAATATAAATAGTATTACAATATATATATTAAGTGATATATATACTGCATTAAGTAAATCTGTATTAATTTGCTAACGTCTTCAACTTGTTTCATATCATATGTAAAATGTGTTCTGTCATATAATATTTATGGTTATAATATTCTAAGCTACTATATTGCATAGGTAAAATATGTCAATCGAGGTATAGTTTATGTAATGTATATACATTATATACATTAATATTGTTTTATGAGTTAGGCTTAGATATTTATGGACTGCGACCAACTTGATTTATTGTGCACCCCTTTGAAATTAGAAGATCAGTATCTCGAGGAAACAAATAGTTCTTTCGTAAGGAGCTGTTGAAGGTCTTCATTCTTTAGTTGGCATGCATCTAGAATTTTGGGCCTCCTGTGGCCTAATGCATCATAGTTAGTGATCAAATGTTCCATAGACACTTCCTCATCGCAGCAGCATCTACAAATATTTGGGCTGGATATACCCATTGTGTAGATGTTTATTGCAGGTGGAGTGGCTTGTTAGTGTACAAGAAATTGACTTTAGACTATTCTTTTTTAGATTGAGAACGATGTTTACTCTTTTGGTGTTAAAATTCAACAATTTTTAGGGGCGATTTAGACCGTTAATTCCATTCCAATATTCTTTGATTTTTTGTTGGATCCATTTTTTGTTGGATTTTGATCCTTCGTGTTCTTCATGTCCGGGTACCCAAATCAAAGAGACCTGGTTATAGGTGGCCAGTTGACTGAGTGTATTGTTATACTCTGTAAGGACTGTTGATGTGAATGTGTAGCTGTTGAGAGCTTTGATAACTGAATGACTGTCTGAGAGTACTATAATTTTAACTCTTTTAAGTTCTTTTTTTGAATAAAATTTCCACGGTCTCCATTATAGCCATTGTGTTATGTAGTGATGATTACAATATTATAAGCTCTAATTCATTTGTTTTTTTTTTTTGGTTAAATGTGTTATTCTTTATGATATATAATATTTTGGATGTATCGCTATTCTCAGTACTTTTAAGCTGCAAATATTCTCTCCGATGTGTTTTCAAAATTCATTATTTATAATTTTTCAAGCAACGAACATAGGTTCAGGTTTGTCTATTAAATTACACCACAGTTTTTAGTTTTTCAGTAGATTTTTATTTCTATAATACCTAAACTTTTGGTATTGACCCAATTAATATTAAAATATTTGAAGCTCAAATTCAATGTTGACATATTACGAGCATTTAAAGAAAAACTCAATTTAGGTTCACAAATATATTAAAGATATATTTTTGTTTATATTATATGTTATAT